TACTTACTGTATCCATAAAGTGCTTCCTCCAGTGGGGCATAATCAACTGAATTGAAGAGGCGGCACTGCTCACAGTTTGGAGGATAGGGAACCGCGGTGTTTCACTCTCTGTTCAAACCCCTTTCGCCATCTTGCTCCACGGACAGAAGACGTTGCCCTATGGGTGGCGCGCATCATTCCTACGTACCTGAACTGGCTGTGAGTGCGGCTAGTCAGTGGTATAGAAAACATGCTCTGAGGATGTTCACTGTGCGAATGTTTACACGCTGCTCCGGATTTCAGCAATTTTAGGTGTGCTGGACACTCGAATGGCACTTCGTTCAACGGCAAGGTTTGCTGAATACGGTATTGATGCAGGGGTAATTGACCCATTTGTGTTTCAAGCTTAACTGTCTGTATCATAGTCGTCTCAACGAAAAAAGTGATAAATTCCAGTGGATTCAGTCTTCCTTACACGAACTGTTTGCCAGGATGGGAACCGATTGTCATAGATGAGAGGGAGCACACTGGGTAATTTATATGCCGAAGTTAGTCACGTTGGCTATTATGCTTCGTGGAGCATACGGAAATATAACACACCCAGCTGAGATTGGTACCAGTCAACTGACGGTACATTTTACAGACTCCTACAAGGCTGCAACCGAGTGTAAAAATACCCCGAATAAGGCGACCTACACTTCCCTGCATCCGCAATGTGACCATCAAGCCAGCTGAAATAGATGTTGGCTGAATGTTCCTATCGTGCGTACAAGGCCGTTTCTTGCGCATGGAGTCATCTGGCCTAGTGGGCCCAGAGTAGGTTCTTCCACCGTGACATGCCAGTTTCGGTTGCACGCAGAATGAACACAGTCGACTTACCAATCTACTGTTGCCACCTGCAATTCTGAATTCCGAGGGATGTGAACATTTGAGTGCTGTTGATGCTGCCCGCGCCGCGGATCGTTGATATCACCCAAATGCTTAGCTCAGGCAGTCTGAAGCTCTGACCTAAATGCTCGGTATTTGGAGTTGTTTTGAGTTGCACGACTGTCGTGTTGGAGATGAACTCAAAGGGAAATTTTGTCATCTGGTAAACGCTGGTCTAATAACCATGCTTGCGGACTGTTACCAGGACCCTAAAGCATCGTTGTTGCACTGTGTCAACTCTTGAATGATGCACTTTTCGAAATCAGTGTGCTCTTGTTCCTCCCCAACTTTGGTTGAAGCGATGCACATAAGTTCAGTAAAGTCAGCTATGCTACGATGCTTTTGAAGACACTGGCTATTAGGAGAACAGCTATTAGACATTCATTTATTGTGACCGAGCTTGATAGCTATTCTTTACTCTTCCTATTTTCTATTCTTGACTGTTGTTTAACCGCTGTACTAGGTTCGCCCGATTGGTACATCCGCATCATTGTTAATGGACGCTCATCGTCATGCCCTTCTCAGCAGCGCTGTTTGCAAGAGCATATTCTATTGGTTTTTTTCTCATCACTGTTCTACTTAGTTATGTTAAGGGAATATTTAGTGTCACACAATTATTGTACTAGTTTTCAACTTTTGGGTTTGCATTCCGTATGCGCGATTGTTTCGTGACGTGTTTAAACGTTTCATTTCGTCATTCTGATTGGCCAGTGCCCGTCACTGTAAATGGTCGTTCGCTTTACGCTTGGAGTCCAATGATGCTATTTTTAGGGACCTACGCGATTCGCTCTTACATACACGGTTGCTTATTCGCCGTTGCATTTGACGTTTTTCCTTCAGTTGGTTGGCTCATGTGTACTTTAGTAGCTTCCCTTCATTTTGCCTTCAAACTATATAAGCAACTGTGATTTCATGTATACAAGTCTCCTTCTGGCTTGTCGTTGGACTTCTTCTTGCGGTCGTGGGGTGAAGACATCAGCGGCGACACAACACTGGCATTCTGTGGTGTATCCCGTGGTGTATGCTCTTCATGTCTTCGAGATCCTCCTTATGATCCATCTACTAAGCGGCCACTGTTTTCGGCGAACATGTGAAACGCGGCCGTGGTATTATCTTCGCACAAATGTGAGGAGGATTCAGAAGAAATAGGATGTCTACTGGTTTTCCGCAAGGCTTAGTCATTGTCAATGTCAGGTTTACCGAGCTCACTCCAAAACGGTCCTTCATTCACTTCAGTGGGTGATACGCGCATACTGAGGTCAATTTTCTTTAAGTCTTTTAACCATAAAGTTAGATGTATCGATACGAACTTCCTTTAACAGTAGTAGCAATCTGGAATGGCGATTATGACAACACTTAAAGTTGACATAGCGGAGACGCTCTTATTGAAATAGTCATGTACAATCTAAACGGAGCACGTGACGCCTCCGTTATCTGTTTCTTTCGCCCCACTGACGGCTATTCAAAGGGGTGCAGCTCGTCTGGGACCACTTAGTTGTTTGTACAACGGCTACCGATTTGCACACTTTGTTATCGAGCGATCCAGCATTTTGCCATTTCTCAACCTCCCCCATCCCCCTCGTGTGTGTGCTTGTTTGCATACCACTCGAAAGTCAATCGGGGGTGACACGCGCGCTCACGAATCCCAATGACAGATGGGTAACCGATTGACACTTGATGGCCATCTGTTCCACTTCCTGACTGTGCTCCAGCTCTGCTCTGGTACGCCCGACCAAAACATGTTAACCGGTTCCCCATAAGCAAGTGAACAGCTGTGATTTCCATTTCCTTCGCCTCAAACTGAACATGTGTCGTATGCTGCGTTGCGGGAGCGTACACCTGAGACGTGCAGCTCAACCCTTGGGCGCAGATGCGCGAATGCGTGGGTTCGAGCATGCTGGTCACGTGACAGTGATTGATGCTTCTGCTGTTGATTGAAATTGACGAGCATGTGCGCTGGTTGTTTTGACCGAAGTCGAGGCTATACCGTGAGACACCAGATCGCGCAAATCGATCGATAGATAGTAGGACTAAATTGGCCGTTTGAATAAACGGAGAGGGATTCTGCACAGTTGCCAATGTAGCAATGATCGATGTGTCGTTGGTTTTTGAGAGGCCTGTTGCCTATATATTATTGTTCACTGATGCACCCAATGGTAATTAGTCAAGTATGCTACGAAATAAAAATAGCCGAAATACTTTTAGTTAACCTTGATTAGCTTGTGATGAAATATGGAGTAAAGCTTTAGTCAACGTATTGAGAACCCAATGAATCAAGTAAGGACACCCCAACTTGCACGATCTACACGAGGCATCCCCCGTGACATCTAAGAGACCAAGCCAGCCCCAAATTTGTTAGACCAATTGTTCTCTGAGCTTGGCAACAAATGAACAGGCTGAGCTACCCACAATTGCCTCTAGGTTAAAGCCTCAAGTTGAGAAGTTCATTATCGATACCCTGTCCGGGCCGTGCATCTGCGATCCACGATATCGGGTGCTCGGGGAGGATGATTGCATACTCGTTCCAGTGTGTGGGGGGAGCAAGTTCATGTATGGTTTTTGAGTGCCCGCTGTTTGTGCAGTTTTGAACTCACTATTGGATGCCTTGACCTTTCAATGAAATCAGTGTCTGAGTCTGCAGTTGACTTGGTTAATGTTAGGCGGCTTCTGCAGGTCTGTGTAGATATTCATAAATGTTCGGCTTGATGCACTACAACTTGTGTGGCTTTGCAATCACTAGACGATGGTGCATAAATGCTGGACCTAGAACTAGAGGTCACGGCGAAGATGGTGTCTGGTTCAGAGTTACCTGATTGACGGGGGTCACCGCTTCTATCTTAGTTCACAGCTGTTCGGTTCCGCTTATCTTCACACTTTACTCACGACCCAGAGCCTTTCTGACGGCTTCTGTTTTTGATGATGTATACGAGTGAGCCTGCGAAATTTCCTTGAGGTACTTAGAGTACAATCCTGCCAGCGTAAACCTAATTGGCTGGTTGTCGAAGAAGTTGGTAATTCTTAGCTTTTATTCGTACGTAATATCGTACCCTCACGCACTGAGCTTCGGGGCTAGAATTTGCAGGGAAAGTCAATTCCTCATTGTCAATGTGCACACGCTTGATCCTGACTAAATGAGCGCACAAAGTTACCTTAATCGCATGGTACGTTAGTCCTGTTCAAATTGACGGACCGCCTGCCATCTTACCCGTGAAAATCATGAGATCTGTCTGCATCCCGCTTTTAAATTAAAATGCATATGGGCAGAATTTTAAGCTGCGTGAAGTTGAAGCACGCAACTTGCCGCTTATAGCCATGAACGGGCTCTCCGTAAGGAGGACTCTTTGTTAAAGAGACACGTATTGCACATACATAGTTTGGAAAACATTCATAGTTACCGAGTTGTTTCCTTCAGCTATCGATGTTAGTGACATTTGTTTAAACACATCATTCCGCTACATTTATTGGCTGCTTGTGTTCACTGTTTTTGCTCTCGGATCGCAGTGCCACTTGGCTGCTAACACTCTATCTTTTCGTTCGTGCGTGTCGCTTATTGGTGCCACTGTTGAATACTCTTCATTGGCCTCATTTTGCTTGCATGCCTTTAGCAATGTGGTTGGCTGAAATGTCTTTTAGTAGCTTTCTTTCAGACCATTCTTAAAACTGTTTAAACAGACATGATTCAATGCATACGATTCTTTCCCGGCACGTCTTTGGAGTTCTTCTTGCGGTCGTGGGGTGAAGGAGTCAGCTGCGACAATACTCTTCGAAGTGGGTAATTGTGTGTCTAACGGTGTTGTCCATTAGTAGCTAGCTCGCTGTACATACTATACAGCGGACGTCTTACTATGGTTGTATAAGTGATTTAGTTGCAGAATTATTGCAATCGATAACATTTATTTATTCTCTCTACAGTCTCTTCAGCTCAACATTCCATGACTATTCCCAGGATGTGTAAACTCATGCGCTTTTCAGGGTAGAACATGCAACTGATGCCAAATAAACTTCCGTACTTTACAACATGACGCTGCTGTGTTTATGATATGGTTGTCCTACTAAAGCCTGATTTTGCGGTTCTGCACTCCGACTTCTAATAGGATCACAGAAAGATCTCTTAGAAGATATGGAACCGGAGAGCCGGGGAGACACGAAGCGGCAGAAGAAACGCGGAATCTTTCCCAAAGTGGCCACCAATATTATGCGTGCTTGGCTGTTCCAACATCTAACGGTGAGTGATAACTTTCTACCTAACCCTGTGGTAGCATTCGACTCAGTTAGGGAAAGTGGTGTGGGGGGGGGTGGAGTTGGGACCTCTGTATGCAATACTTATATTGAGAAAATAGGCATCCGATGGCTTGGCCTTGTTTGCAAGTTTCATAAGAGTCTGTGTACCCTTTCCTAAGTGGCTTAGAGCTTAGGTCTGGCAGCTGATGCGAACATGATCACTGGGCCCTCATTTGGTAAAAATTCAATCTTCAAGACTTCTACCGTTATTGCTTTGCTGTTGGGCTTTTCAGACGCAGTCCCTTTCGCTTAATGCGAAGCGATCTGCGGTTGAGACGCATTCGAGCGTTCTATCACACTTGGGCCAACACAGCAGCTACGGCTGAGTTTGAGGAGGGAAAAAACAATGTGGGGTGCATGTGAGCACTCGCGCGCGCGATCGGTGTCCTAGCGGGAGAAGTCACATCATTGCGTTTACTTTGTTTACGCGCGGCTGCATCTAATTAGCTTTCCAATCCCCCCTTGTCCTTCAGTCGTCTACGCCTCATCGACACGCAGCCACCGTAATCGACAGAATTGATGCGTTTTTGGCAAGCAACCACAAAGCAACAGGAAAGCGCACGTTGTTCGATTCAAGTGTTGGAAGTGTTTCTGGTTGATTCAAGTTTTAAGCAGTAGTTTGTCGGTAGTATAGTTGTGTCTTGGTGCATGGTATACTCACACAGAGTAAGTAACTGTGACCTCGCAGGGTTGAGAGTTTCTCAGTGACTTGGGTCTATTTGATGCCAGTCGGAAAAATATCTGGCCCTTGGCGGTTGCATTATGGACTTTTGGTTAGAGAAGTATAAACGTATACTTGACCGTGTACTAGCCTACTGAGTCAAGCGAACCCTGGTGGAACAAATTCGTGGGCGCCCTTGGTGGAGGGTTCAGTAGTCTTTTATAGGAAGTTACTTGTTTTATGAACAGACACTTCAGAGGTAAAAGTTTTCCATTACACAAAAGACACGCTTCAAATGAAGTATCAACTGGTGAATACCAAACAACAAAAGGGAAGTGCATAAGTGAGAAGTAACCATTTGAGTTGCCTTTCCTGTACACAATACTCACAGGCACACCACCCGAGCAATGAAAGAATCAAGTCGTTAAATTTGGAAGACGACCGGTTAATGTATTTATGGTGATAGACAACGTAGACAACGCTTTTGTGTCAAAAGCGAAACGTTGTCTATCACCATAAATACAGTAACCGGTCGTCTACCAAATTTTCTGAAATGATGACTTCCCGATCGGTTCCAATTATCTTCCAAGATATCGAATCAAGTCGGTATTCTTCTTTGATAGTACAGAAACGCAGTTGGCGAAGACGATTCTTAATTATCTGATACTCTAGTTTTCGAATAACTAAGGCCATAGAAAAACACCACAGAGAAATGGAACATAAAGCGAGTTTCCAAAAAACAGTCTATTGTGATGCTCCTAACCGGTTCTACTCCGCACGGTAATGAGTAAGCCAAACATCAGCCGGACCGAGAATTGTAATGCAATGGAACACAGCGGTATAAATAGGATGGAGCTAAGCTGCTAAATACATCATAACCAATAACAATATCGAAGACGCTGATTACTCTCAATTAACACCACTCAAACCGGTTCAGTTCTGAGTGGAACCTTGTTGTTGAACCACACCTACATTAGCATTCAACCTCTCATTGAGTACAATATCCTAAGGTTCGAGCGATCCGTGATTCTCTCGCCTCGTATCCTTAATACCTCCCTCTTCCTAAAATGTGGTTTACCTGGGAGTTGTATGTCGTTTCCTACGGGAGTCAAACTGCGAAAGACGCACAAATGTTCTTGTCCGTTTTGGCTTGTGTCGGGCTGCATCTTCACATTCCAAGGGTTGAGCTTCGCGCCTGGGGGAAGCACTAGACATGTGGTGGTCGAACAGTTCATGGAAATGAAATTCATTGTCTTTCGGAACCACAGCATCTCGTGTGTAACGTGGCCTCAGTTGGTTTGCATGACGTCTCCATAGTTGAGTACCGAGCATTACCACGTCACGACGCCGCAGAACTCCTTCTGGTATCCAATTTTTCCGCATTCCCTGGACAGAAGCGGCATATACGAAGTCGCCCACTTTGAAACATCGTATCTGTATACATCTTGAAGCAATGCGTACTGTTCCGTGGCTTGCTGAATCCTCCTGGCATTTATCGGCAAGTTACATATGGCATCGCGTACTAGGTGTTGTGTCGCCAAGGGTTCGACTTCGCCGCTTCTTAGGTTGCGCCGCGCGAGTCAAAAGACAACGCACCGGACGAGAAGTATATTTGCGAAACACTGTGCGAGCCGACGTGGGTATAAAAACACACTGATTACAGTTCAAATCACGGCTGAGTGCTAATTTGAATTTATCGATCTCAAAGGATCACGGGACGTGTGAGTGGTATGAAAAAGCGGTAGTATTAAATGTGCTGCAACACAGAAAAACTTGGTGTTTTTCTTGCACCTCCAACACCAGGCAGCTGATATCTGTTTTGACTGTCGTTGAGGCAATAGCTACATCTTCAGGCGGCCATCTGGTGGTAATGATTAATCTGGGTAGGGCATCCGTTTGCCCAATAGAATCAATTGGCAAATATCGCATGTTGAAATCGGATGCTAGGAACAAAGTCACCCAACGCTAAAGTCGACTTGCTGTGTACGTTGGTATACCCTTTTTGGATCCAAGGATTGCGAGAAGCGGCTTGTGATCAGTCACTAGAGTGAAACCCCGACCGTATATCATCTTGTGAAATTTCTGAACAGCGAAGTGGATAGCCAAAGCCTCTTTCTCAATCTGACTATAGTTTTTCTCAGATGCGGTCAGGGCACGTGCAGTTTGTGCCACATCCTTTGCTGAACTGTCCGGAAACCGATGAGAAATGACTGCGCCAATTTCATAGCTGAAAGTATCGGTGGCCACAATAATCTCCAGATTAGGATTGTAGTGTGTAAGCAGTAGGTTTGACTTTAGCAGAGATTTCAATTTCTGGAATTCTTGCTGTCACTGTATAGACCACTTCCATTTGACGATCTCTCATCTGCAGTCGATTCAGGGGGTAACGTAAGCGATGCATACACGAGCAAAATGCGCTATGATGGCTCACTATGCCAAGGAACGATTGCAGGGTTGTAACATCCTTTGGTGCAGGCAATCGGTATTTCACTTCGATATTCGGGGTCGGGTCGTCGGCCGCCTTCATCAATCACGAATCCCAGGAACTTGAGGGATTTCAAGAGAAATTTGAATTTGTCTGCGCAATCCATATTCTTCGATTCGCATCATCACGTCATCCAGTCGTTGAAATAATTCGTCCTGTGTGGTGCCCATTATATAATGATGTCATCCAGATAGGCTGCAGCTCCAGTTACTCCAGTCAGCATAGCATCAATGACCTGTGGAAAAATTGTCAGTGCGTTTTTGACTCCACATGGCAGACGAGTGTATTGGTACAGATGATGAGGAGTGTTGATCGTGAGAAGTTTTCTGCTTACAGGTGCAACTTCTAACTGTAAATACGCTTCAGCCAGCGCTAGGGTAGCGAATTATTTATCACCGTTCAGCTTCGCGAATAGGTCCTCAGGAATTGGGAGTGGATATTGATGGGCTGCAGTGCGTCGCTCAGATCAGTTAAAAAATCTGCACCCAATCGAATGGAGCTGTTCGATTTCTTAATCACGAGTATAAGGGGCAGCCTCGTATCCTTAACACAGTCCCTTTTCACTTTGTTTCTTGGACTAAACGGACTGGCGCATTTACAGTAGACGGCTGCGAAATGAGATCTTTGCAGCTGTGTTGTTATGTAGAATACACGGCAGCAAGGTTGTGCGAGATTCTGAGAACCAAAACAAGCCTGAGTGGTTATCTGGGTCTGATCTTCACGGAGCGGAAGGTTGATTTATCGTAGAGGAGTTCGTTTTACTTGACATTTTATGTCAATTTTCAGTGCTTTAGTTTTGATCTCACCTTTGGGTTAGCAGTTCGCCAGCACTGACCGAGACCAAGCAAAAACATCCCTATTTGATCAATCTTCAGTCTCGCCAAACCCTAACCAAACCAAACATGACGCAGCTAACTGACTCACACGACAGTAGTCAATCATTTGATTTATCTGGGGAAACATGGGTGTTGTTTGATTGGGTCCATGTTCAAGGTCTCACTGTATACTCCGTTCACTTGATTTGTTAGCCGGCATCAAAAGCCATCGCCATTTAACTTATTTCGTGGCGCGTAAATGCTACAGTGTGGTCCAGTTGTGGACACTTGTCATAACAAACTAGCGAGATGCAATTGGTTGAAAAACATAAGGTTGTAATGTCTCACAAACCAAGGCTCTGTCACTTGAATCGACAAACGACCATGAATACTCATAAGGAAAATTGGGAGTTGAGTGATCTGCACAAATTGCAGTGTCGTCCACCATGATCTTTCGGATGCCCCCAACAGGTTCGCCCCGAGACCATCAACTTAAGCACCATCTAATGCTATTCTTTCGTTGAAACCAGAACCAAGCTGTTATGCCTACCGCATGTAAAATTATTTGGCCGGATGGTTATGTGCCAGCTGTTTTTGTATAACTGCTTTGAGCAAACTCACAGACGTACTGCGCTACCTCGCACCCTGCGTAACATCTCATTTCAGTGGTCTATTCTTCCGGGAATTCGAGTGTTCACAGACAGTCGTACAGATTATATCTAGTATGTTTCGCTGGAGACTACTACCATCTACGGTACAGTATTGCTCGCCAACTTGTTACCACATTAAGTAGCTGAGCAACTAAGCGCTCAGCAAGACTGAGCTGTGCACTTTTACCCCGATCGTGGTGTCCATGTTTATTCGACAGGCAATTCAACCAAACTTAGCTCCAGTTTTCAAGGAATTCAGCTTCGAGATACAGCCCTAGTTTAGTTGACACGGCGGAAACCTTAGCACTTTAAAGATGCATAGTGCGTTCCTCATAGAAACCGAGTTCTGGTAACTCGGGCTGTTGAACCCGATGGAAGGGCTTACATCTGGACATTAGCAAACAGGCTCGTAGTACCAACGGATGGGACTAGCAATCCACTTTCGGCTTTTTGAAAAGAGTAACAAGAACGAAACCGGGCGAAGCATAAGGAGAATCCAATTTTGTATTACGCTAGGAGCCACTCGGGATATTCTACTGGGCGTATGCAATCGACGGCGGGAACACTAACGTTGCTACAACACCACTAGGCCGCACGTTCATCCAGTGCTGTAGATTTAAACGTCAACGAACGTTGAGGTATCCCGCTCTTGCAACTGATGTTTCGGGAAAAGACCATTGCTAATCACCACCACCGTTCTGACTGGTCAGAAGTACGCCGCTTGGTATCATGAAAAATATGGTTGTGGGCATTTATAATTGACAGCTGAGCCCCTTTGAAGGGTCACGGCAACCCATGTGTGATAGTTGCTTTGATGTGGACGATGAGCACAGAGCGACACCTGCCTTCCGCACTGGTTAGCTGAATGAGACGCGCACTGTATCTGACCAGCAGAGTTGCAACCAGTTACATGTTTCTGAAGACTGATGCACAGATTTCAGTCGCTGCATACCTTGTTAAATAAACGAAATAAATAAATAACTTTGTTTAGTTCTTGACTGTGCGAAACACGACCCAGTAGGTTGGTCCGATCAAATTTAGATGTGGATGGCTGTGTACTGGATCGCTGTTTCTCGCCCATGAATAAGGATGACCCTCAAAATACGCTGTGCTAAAATTGTCACTTTTGGGTGGGATGCCTGATAACCACCAGTAGTAAGTTACCTAGGAGGTCACAGGCGCACAAAAGATTAATGGGTTGCGACTCACAATCTCCATGTAGACCGCGATTCACCCTGAAGTGAACCTTGGTTACTGCAATCACTGGGACCGTAGCCGAAGCAGATAGCAATTAGATGTTGCCTGCCCGGAAGCACTGCACACCACGACACCTTTCCATTTCATTAGAACTCGTCCGGTGGAGCTAACAGGCCTTGAACCCGCGACCATTAGAAGGTTAGCCGAAACCTCCATTCGTTTGGCTACCGGATCACGGTGGGCAACGCTTGGCACAATGGTGAATGACTGATTGGAGGATCAATTTCGGACTATATGTTGTGTGACTGGATTGCGACATGCAATCGCAATGTGGACCGCGATTCACGTTGAAGTAAACCTTGGTCAATGCGATCACTGGGACCCTAGCCGAAGCACATGGAAATCGGGGTTGCCCACCCGCACCCTGAGTGCTTAGTTGCGTAGCTACGTAGTAGGGCAATATTGCAGCGAGCAACGAAATATTTGCACACATGAGGGCGCCAAGTACATGCAGTGATTTATATTTGGGGTGATATTGAGCCGTGACGCATACAAGTTATTCCTACCAAGGTTAGTGACCTTGACTTGACCCCCTAATGGGGCTTAACATAGCAGCATCACGACGCTTCTGGTGGCCGGATCAAGGAAAGATGTGATCAATTTCTTCCAGACATGCAAGATCTATGGTTCCTTTAAACATCATCGATTCGACAACTGTGAGCCACTGAAGGCCGCATATGCTAACGAGGTGGTGGGTGTAGACGTGACGGGACCGCTACCCGAGAAAGCAAGGGGCTATCTTTTCACCTTGGTCCTGATGTGTTACTTTACCAAGTGGTGCGAGGCTGTGCCGATTGTACATGCTAATACGGTAGCTGTGGGGACGACAGTTTCGAATCCTTGGGTTTGTCATTGGGAACGGGCACCAGGACAGACACATCCGGACAGATGTTCCTGTTGTGAGAGTGCTTTGGTACAGGAAGTTTTTCGGGTCCTTGACATGTGAGAAGAGGACGACAGTATATCACCTCAAAGGCAACGGACACGTTGAACGAAATGATCGCCTTTTCAAAGTATTACTTTAAGCCCTTGTTTTATCAAAAGCTTAATAGGCTGGACATCAGATTACCCAAGCGTTTGACTGACTACCGCGGTACGGTTCACTCATCAGCTAGACAAACAGCTTACATATGTGGACGGGAAGAGAGTCACGTTCGTCTTTGGAGTTACAGCTGATAGCCTCAGTTCAACAAGCGCATCATACTGCACGCATAAACATGAAAACTTCGTATCTGCACCAAAAGCATAATAGTAGATCAGCTATAGTTCATCACGGTCGACCCTCAGTCATCATGTATTGGCTTGTATGGAAAACCACCAGACACCGGTGTTTCGACCTTCTGGGTCTCGTCAGTAGTACTTCTTCCAACGGACCCCTGCCGGGTCCCGCCCCCATGACTTCCGTATAGCTTCTAAGTACTTGTTTTGTATTAAGGCAATATGCGGAAATTCCTAGCTCGTGGGGCTAGCTGCTCTCCTCTGCACAGTTCCTAACTGGCAGGACAGTGGAAGGTGAGTCGGGCTATATCCTAGACAACTGTCAATCACGCAAATCCGCAACTGTCACCCATGGCGAAGTGGCATTGGCTGCTGACGTCCGGAAGTCATAGGGGCGGAATATGGCAGGAGTCTGCTGGAAGACGCACCAACGACGAGACCCAGAATGTCGACCCACTGGTGTCTCGTGCTGTTCCATACTAGTCAAAGCCTGCCGACTGAGGGTCGACCGTGTTGAACTATCTCTAAGCATAATAGTTTGATAAGAAGAGCTTTGACACCCCCTAAGCGTTGGCGAGCTTGTTTGGCTACATTAGACTCAGACCCAGAGAATGCCTACAAGGTTCCACTGCGCATGGTTAAGTCCCTACGTAGTGGAGCGGCTGCTGTCCGATACCACGGGTTGCTCAGTATAACTCATGTTTCATGTTTGGAGTTCCCCTTGTATGTGACAATGGATCATGTGTTCACACCATGCCTCTAGTGTAATGCTGAAATTGCTCTGGTACTAATTAGACAAAGTGAAATAAGTTGTACACTTTCCAATTTCGTACTCCCACAGCATCCCTATCCCTCTGAAGAGCAGAAGAAACAATTGGCCCAAGACACCGGGCTCACCATATTGCAGGTGAACAACTGGTAAGTTGGTTATAACATTTTGGGGCTACACATGTCCAGAACACCATGTCAAGCATGGATTTGTGAAGAAGAGGGCAAAACGTGCGCAAGCTACATTGTAAATTAAAAAAGTTTCTGCTATTGCCGCTGGTTGAGCTCCCTGTTTGACCGAAGAATTCAGTGACTCGTATCGCCATTGGTTTCGAATCGTTTAGCGCGTTTCTGCCAGCTTAAAATTCTGACAGTCAAACCACATTACTCAGAAGCTGCATCTAGGATACCAGTTGGTACTTCAGTTCGCTCCCAACCTCTAGTCGAATAATGGTGTCCAGCCGGTGGCCAGTAGTTATCAGTACCTTGGGAAAACCCACAGCCATTATGGCAGCATGATCAACATCCATGTATGCGATCCGGCCAATCACCTACATCCATGTTGTCCTAGTTGCGTGGCACGCATCGTTCATTAATGACGCACTCATACTTCTCTTCCCACATTGTGGATTTTTGTCCAGGTTGCATTCCTTTCAGCAACATTAGTAAAAACATCTAAGTAAGCCCTGCTATCGCACGTTTCCATGAGATAACCAGAGAAGTTCAGGCGCATCCCTTTCAAACCTGCTTGAAGATCCACGTTTGAATTTATGTGCTGTCACCTTTTTCGTTCGATTTTCTAGTATCCACCCTGTGTCTGGTTAATAACTGGCAATCTCCGTTGGGTCCCAATGAAGTTAACTTCGGTCATTCCGATCATTAGGACCGCGTTCAAACTCGTGGCGTTAGATGGACTTACGCATGATAACTTGTCATTCGTTGCTTATGTTCTTTCACGTGATTGGTTGATTGATTTATTGAACATTGTGTGTGCTGTTTGCTCACGCTTGTCAGTTTTCAAGAAAGCTCGTCCCCACCCGAGTTGCGTTCATGTTTACGTTCGGAGTGGATTGCGTTTATCAGTGTCAGACGTCATGATAACCCCCCGATCCATTTCGTCCTCGTTTGTACTCTTCAGGTAGAGAAATACGTAGCTGGGAGCGGACCGACGGATGTAGTGCTTGACGGAGCGTGGCGTCCTGCGTAGTTAAGCATTGGGCTTCACGAATAACGCTTGCGCAGGGTGCCGGGTCTCCACCCCCAGTTCCGGCTATCTCTACAAGGATGAAACCCGCCGTGAGGTGTCCGTGTTGGTGACGAGTAACAAGGAAACTCTCCTTGGCGACATATTGTTGCCTTCACTGGATGGTTAACACGCGCCCACGTCAGTTTTGCTCCCTCCTTGGGTGCGTGTGACCCCGGATTTCGACCGCAATTTGCACGCTCGCCGGCCGGCCATTGGCCTCCACTACGCGTACCTTGTGTACATTCAATAGTCATACCTATTCGGAGATTCAATAACTCGAGCAAATTTGCATGCGTGTGCATGTTCTGGAGCAAGTCCGGCTACCTTAACACAAACGTAGCGTTATTCCCGAAGTGTGACTCCTGTGTGAGGTGTATGTGGATGCGACACAAATCTGAGACCTCGACGGCTAGGGTGCAACAATTTTAGAAGACAGGCTGAAGATCAGATGACGCGATACCTCCTCAGGCGGACTGCATGAACTGTCAACTTTAACAATCTACCACTTTGGGGGATATCGTAGAAAGTTTCAGCATAGCATACTATACCACTTTCACTCTAACTTAGTCGTTTTACAAAAGAAATCGGACATTTTGCAAACCACATCCTAAGTTTTGCAAACCACAGTAGACCTTTTGCAAACCAAATTGGACATTTTGCAAAACCAATTGGACATTGTGCAAACCAACCTGTATCCATTGTATTCTAAGCAGAAAATCAGCAATTTATTAGTAAGAAGCGAGGAATAAGGCGGCTGGACAATGTTCAGATCATGTTGTGGCCATGCTAATGCGACTGAACGGTGTAAGCAGTGGGTGCCACTGTAAACCCTGCTGTTAGCCGGGAGCCTCAATTACCTCGATCAAAGGCGGTGGCTAAATTTTCCTCTCTCTCCTCATTAGCCTTCGAGTAGTATGTTTGCCTATGCATGTACGCAAGAACTTGCCCAGCTCTGCGGCCATTGGAAAGTCAGAATCTCGTATCGCATAGTCTATTAGGGCTGCCCCAAATGTTATCTAGCATTAGAGGGTCAGTTTGGAGTATTTGTTTTGTGAATGGATTGCGTCACGCAATTTCATTGTGGACTGTGATCCCATTGAAGTAAACATTGGTCAGTTAGCTCACTGGGACCATAACCGATGAAGCAAATAGGCGGTGACCCGCGTTTCTAATAGAGATAAGCGGAGCCAATGTCCAGATGCGAGGTGGCGCACAGGCATACCGCGGAGCACGTGAGCTGTCTGCTGCATGCGAAGGTCACCAGCACGAGCGCGGGACGACCTTCGACTGTTTTGCCAAATTTGGGAATCCGGTGCAAACTGCTTGGCCGGTAAATACAAGCCCGAGTCAACGTAGGCGAACCATTCTGCCAAATATGGAAAGTCCGTGGGACGGAATTAACTCGCATTGGCTGAGAGCCAAACGCTTCCAAAAGGAGTATGTTTCGTTCACCAATAAATAGAACTGACCTATCGTGTAGAATAGACTCCCTGTTTATCGAGCCTTGGCCTTCTGTATCCCGACGGTTGGCTGGGCGCGTGACTGAGCAATCAGGCGGTCGTAGTCTCGCAGGCGCAGAATAGCACCAGTGCAGCAGTACGAAGACAGCTTTACAACAGTTTCCCCTGTCTCTCTATAGGCCCTCGCGTATTTTATGTGCGTATGTGAACGAACCTATGCAGCTGCTGGACTATTGGAGCAGTGTAGGCTGTCATGACTCCAGCAAATCCAGTCTAGTTTTATTTGCTTACTGCTGCAATTTGGCATCAAAGGAAAGGGAGTAAGGCGACTGGACGATACCAAGGCCACATAGTGGTCACGCGAATGCAACAGAATTGTGAAAGCCCTACTTTTGATCACGGGTGTCTTTCACCTCGATCAAGGCCGATGACCCAGTTTTCCCCTGTCCCTCTATAGACTTTCGCGTGTTTTGTGTGAGTGTGTAAGCGAATCTATGCAGTTGCACAATTACTGGAACTGTGAGGCAAATCATCATTCCACTAAGCCCAGCCTGGCTTTAGTAGACTTGTGCCGCACGAACAAACCAACATGAGCGAAGAATGGCAAGCTGCTGTTGCCTACACAGTGCGGTTGCATTAGCGTTACCACAAGGTTGCCTAAACATCGTCCACTCATCTTACTTTTCATTTCTTGTTAACAAGTTGCTGCTTTTCTGCTTAGAATGCAAGGTGTCCAATTTAGTTTATAAAATATCCAACCTAATTTATGAAAAGTCCAATTTAAACTTTAAATGGTATATATGAAGTAGGACAAGGAAGACAAAATATAGCATGTGCGCTTTTTATTGACCAACTCATCTACAGACACCTTAGCGTAACATTTATCGCGGAAACTTTCACAACTTTAATCAGTGAATTCATTGGGAGATGGATGACGAAAGGTAGAGCATATTTGATTGTTTAGCCGAGTTCTCGCTTTAATCCCATTGCTTCAATCTTAGCAGGATACACAGTAAGAGATTCGGTTTTCAACAGAACTGGCCTACCAGTGTCCAAGGTTGTGTGTTGACAGCCTCGCACAACAGCGGCCTCTGCAACTCAACTTGCTCTTAGATCGCTTATCAGTGATAACTTCCTCCATCTTGCAAGCGGAGAAGCACGGAGTTCAGCTCTTTAACGAATAGATGGAATACGTTCTGCAAAGTGAGTTACAATATCGACAAGCAGTTGATCTGTTTGCCCAGTTTGGGCGGCATCCATCAAATCTGTGTCGCCTGAATGGCGTTTGTCACCCAATTCACCGAACCAGTGTCAGTTGCGTCAGAAAACAAGGTCCTTCGCCCGAAGCAAGCGAATTAATTCCTGCGGAGCAGTACAAGAAAATGCATGACCTTGGAGAATTCATCCTGGCGCGCTTACAAAGTCTGTTCAAGTAACCTGACCTGGGCTGCTTACACAACTCAACGAAACCACTGTGTCAATTTGAGCCGCGAAGACAGACTCCAGCACCAACAGAAGTAAGCGGCGAAATGCGTTACAAAACACAACTAGCTGTATAAACACGTCAACAAGCTCCGCAGAGTGCAGCGTGGGATCCCAATCTTAGGTACGACAGATGGTCTAGAGCAAACTACACGGGACGCGACCAACCTGCTTCACCAATACTTCATCCACACTTTCCAGACTGAATCATCATTTCACCCACTTCTGACACAGATCCCATCGCCACCAGGGTAAAATCAGGTTCAAAGCAGCCAATGTAATGTAAACGCTAATGTCAATGCGTATGCACAGCTCACCTGCCGTGGACGACATCAAAGCGAAGGCATTGAAGACAGTGGCTATGAAGGTTGCCGAACCATTAGCTCGTATCTTTCAAGGTTGTCCTGACAAAATACAGGTTCCCACAATGTGGAAACATGGACCAGTCAGTCTTATTTACAGAAGTGGTAATCGTTCGTAGTCCTCGAACGACCGTCCAATCACTTTCCTACCAGTTTTATTCAAAGTTATGGAACGGATAATTGCAGAGATGTTCATGCGATATCTTGTGAGCAACAACATTCTAGTGGCACAGCAACACGGATTCTGCCGAAATCGATCCTGCACTACAAACTTGCTGCTAGCCTGAGAAAGCTGGACGCGGTCAGCCGATGCCAGAGTGGTAGTCGACGTTGTCTACGTGGACTTCTCGAAAGCTTTCGATCATTTGGACCACCGCATCCTCCCTCATACTTCGAAGCTATGGAATCGGTGACGCTGTGCACGGTTGGATCGGCAACTTCCTCACTCAACGTCAGCTGAATGTGAGTGTTCGCAGCTCCATTTCCGACCCAATTGGCGTACAGTGTGGCATGCCTCGAAAATCGGTACTGGGGTCACGTTTATTCCCAACATTCATTAACGAGCTTGCTGGTGTACTGCAGTCGAATTTCTTACTATTA